ATTATAAATATGAATAATCTATATATTTGATAAAGGAAAAAAATAAAATAAAAAACTAAAATAAAAAATTAAAAAATTGATAAATTAAAAAAGAAAATAATATATATATATGTATACACCACCAAGAAAAAACTTGTTATTGGGTTTCCAATTACTAAATTATATTTTGTATTGGACAAAATTTATTTAATTTATAAGAAATATGTCTGGTACAAAATATAATTGAAAGCCTAATAACAAATTTTTCTTAGTGAAACTCATATCTTAAAGTTTCATTTTTAATAAAATAAAAACTTCTATAAAGTCACTTTTTATATTTTGTAATATAATTATAACTATATAGAGATCACCTCTATATTAATTATACCTTTTATAATACAGTTTTCTGTATTCTGAAGGTGTGACTATAGAGAAGAAAGACTATATTAAATTAAAAATTGTATTTTTGAGTTCAAATTCTATAGCTTAATAAATAAGCTTCTGTCTTTTTACAAACAAGGATCAATGATTTGAATTTAGCTGAAAGTAAAATACTCTGTAACCTAAAAAGAAGCCTATAATTATATATAAAGTCTTGTAAAAGTTTAAATAAAGATATATATTTAGATTAAAGAATTCTTAAAAAAAACTAATATGGCAAAATGTAGGTACTACTATAGTAAGAAATATAGAGAATGTTGTTAATATTTGTAAAAAAAATCAGCTTTATCTTATATAAAATTACCTCTAGCATAAAAAATCTAAAAAAAATATAGATGTGAAAACTATCTTCTTCAATAGAGCCTATTTTACGAGTAAAGTAGTTTAAAAATTAAATATAATTTTTAAATTAATATTTAAATAAACAGAATAATATTAAAAATCAGAAAGCTTAAATAAAAAACTCACAAGCAGGTCTCAGATATAGCAATAAGTAGGAAACTTATAAAAATTTATATGCAGAACTCTTAAATAGACAATAACTAAAATTATATATATAGCTCATTATACTCTTATTAATATGTTATTATAAACCTTTCTGTTAAGATACAAAAGCCAGAAACTTTAATAAAAGTTTACCAATCAATAAAATTATTTTATAAACTATAAAAAAAAATTAAAAATTATATTTTATTATAAAATTACTTATTTAAATAAAATTCTGCTCAAGGAAGTAGAGATTATTAAAATACTAAAAATATATTATTAAGTAAATTTTAAGATTTAAATAAACTCTACAAGAGAAGAGTGTGGCGATATAGAGTAGTGGCTAAGTTGTCACCCTTCCAAGCGGCAGATCTAGAGTTCGATTCCCACTATAGACGTTTTTCAAAAAATAGGCCTGTGTATTGGTAACATTTATTTAACAATCGATTGGATATATTACCTATAACCTTGGTACTACTATCTCAAAATGGAAGCTTTAGGGTAATCTAAATCTAAAGAACTGGAATAATTGAAACCCGTTTGGCAAGACTCGAGCTAGAAGTAGTAAAGATCTTTGACAATACTACCGAAAATTGGAAACCAGAAACCAAAGAACCAGATGAAAAACCCTGGGGCAAGATAAGTTTACCAACCTGGCCGCCAGAGTTGCACCAGAGGAAAAGGTCTGATACTACATAATTCGAAACCAAGGGAAATAAAACTAGAAGATACTTAGAGCCTAGGTACACAACTCTTCTAGGCTAACTGGTTTGGTAGTTAGGGAGAGATCGATATAAGGGTTAGTTGGAAGTGGGTATCAGGATCGAAACAAACCTTGTAAAGGGCAGGAGTAGATAATAGTAGCGATGCAAAAGATCACAAGTTCTAGTTCTCAGATTGGGGCGTATGTTATCAAAAAATCTAGATGATACATATGTAGGATATGAACTGCTCTGGTAGGTTTACCATGAGGATAAAGTAGTCCTAAGGGCTTTAGTGGCAGGAATTCTTCCGGGGAAAGCATCTGACAGCGCTAAGTCGATTAGAAGGTTTAAATAGGAGATTCACAAGCAGATCCTAGGTATAGCAATTAGTGGGTAACTATAGATAGAAATAGATATAGCAGAGCCTTTAAATAGGTAATGACTAAAGTTGTATGTATAACCAATTGTACTCTCGTTAATATAACAAAGTCAAGGGGTGCCTATTCGGCATTCCAATAATTAAACTGAGAAGTTAATAAATTGTGCCAAACCCCAAAGTGGTCACCTTAATATTAAAAAAAAAAAATAATAAATTCTACAAGAGCAAAAATAAATTAAATAACAGAATTTAAGCCAAAACTAAGATTAAACAGAAATAAAAGCATGATTTTAGAAAAAATATAAACTATAGACAAGATTTTAATTCACAAATTAGATAAAAAACTTATATTACAAGTAGTAGACTATAATTTATATATACTGACTAAAGCACAGATCATAAATTACATAATATAAAATAAAAATATTGCAAGTTTTGTCAAGTTTACCTCATGAATAAATGGCCAGAAGTAGATTAATAAGAGATAATAGTCTGTTTTAAAGTTCTAAATTATTATACAAAATTAGCATTATGAAACCAGTTTTTAGAATTAGAAATAATAGGTTACTAATTGATATAAATCTCAGAATATATAGGTATAGAAAATTTAGATAAATAATCTAAATAAAAAGGTTGCAGGTATAGCAACTAGTGTAAAATCTAGTAATACTGTAGGTAAACTACTTAAATAAATACTCAAAAGGCACAGATATGGCTAGATGTATCCTTCAAATATATATAATAATTTGTTTATACAATAAAAAATACACTTGACTAAGAGGTAATAAGCTACAACCCATATCTTTATAAATTAATTAACCTCATTAATATCAATCTAAGCCGCAAGTCAAATTTTTATATATCAAAATTCTCTCTTATATATATCAACTTTAATAAGATTTCTCATTAATATTACTATCAACAACATAATTTAAAACTAATTCAAATAAGTTGATATTAACAACAAGAATCGCTTGTAGTAATGGCTAAAAAATTGATCAAATAGCTAAAAAAATAGCATGCATTTAAAAGATAAAAAATATACATTTATTATAAAATCCAATATGGGTCTAGTGATTGAAACCGGCTATGTATCAACCGGTCAACTACGGTTGGGCGGATAACCTGTTTTAGATTTTAATAAGCCGGGTGAATACAGGTGGGTCAACCCATGAGTTTATAAAAGAACATTGCAATATGAAATTATTCATATTGGAGTAATTCTAAAAAATTGGAAATAATCAGTAGTCGCCTAAACAATCAAGCGATTTTTTCTTTTGGTAATTTTTAAGGGGAATACAGAATTTTGCAAACCACAATAATAAATATACATGTTTTTTTTTTTTAGTTATTTTATTTTTATTTTTATTTTTTTTTTTAGATTCGTTAATTTACAGAGGCCCATGAGTTTAACACTCGCATTAACCGTGGATTACCCATCGGTCACCTGCGGTCAACCGTAGTTACCCACCGGTTGATATATGTCTCAACCGCGAGTAACCCGGGTGACATTCTTCTGGACGGTTCCAATCACTACTAAAGGTGTCGAACAAACCCCCAAATAAAATTACGACATTTCTACTAATTTGCGTAATCCTAAAACCTGTCATTATGCATAATAATTTTTCGGTCTCCTTTCTGCAGTAAAAGATGCATAAATGATTTTTGAAATGTTTGAAATTTTGGCATTTGGGTTTGATCAGTTTGACCATTGGGATTACTACAGTAACTACTATTGTCGAAATTCACGGGTTTGTTCGACACCCCTAATCACTACATGGACCAGTCAATTTATTGTACATTTAGAGGATGCTGCATTTAGGGGGATGCATTTAGGGGAATAGATTAGTGAAGCAACCAAAATTCAGCAGATCGACCAGAATTTAGGATTAGAATAGGCCCGGAGCCAGGCCGGCATTAAGCAATAATACTAGCCAATTATACTACAGCAAAATTATCAGCTGGGTAGCTTTATCTAGTACGTGGGCTACCATTTTATTAGTAAAATTTTGGGTTATTCCGGCCTATTCAGACCCTAAATTTTGGTCGATCTGCTGCTGAATTTTGGTTGCTCCACTAATCTATCCCACTTAGGGGGTCTAACTACATATGTTCATAAGAATAGAATGCATTTAGAGAATAAAGAACGTGCATTCATCTATAACGATAAGACTCAACATCCAGTCAATTATTGTGCATTTAGGGGGTGCTGCATTTAGGGGAGTGCATTTAGGGGGTCTGACTGTATATGAGCCGTGCATTTACCTATAAATTAATTATTGTGCATTTAGGGGGTCTGACTGTATATGAGTCGTGCATTTACCTATAAATTAATTATTGCGCATTTAGGGGGTCTGACTGTATATGAGCCGTGCATTTACCTATAAATTAATTATTGTGGGTCTGACATTTGGGAGGTTAATATTTTTTCTTACCAAAATGCGTAGCGGTTTGTTAATTAGGAATTTGTGTTCAAAAGTCGAATATAATTTTGCAACTGCGCAACAATCCCTGATACTATACGTTGATATATTGTATAAAGAAAAATATCAAAAGATTAGTAATGTGTCTATAGGTTAACGAAATGAACATACTTAAGCACTCATAACATGGTTTTTATACAAGTTGTAATCACTTTGTCAATAGTACCGTCAACTATCTAAAAGTATACCCATTCTAAGCGAGAATTTCATCCCAAAACCAAAAGAATAAATATGGAAATCTTGCTTATTGTAGATTTGAGATCTTACCAAAAAATACAGTAGTACAATATTTCAATGAATAAAACAAGGAGACACGTTGACCACAACAAATATTGACTGCAATAAATGTCACAAAGGAGACGTGTTGAACTCATTAAAATATTGACTGCAATAAACTTTGCAATACAATGAATTCATGCTGTTGTCTTTTGAATTAGGAGAGTATTTATTCCCAAGAAAATATAAAATGACTGAAAAGTTTCCCAAATCTTGTAACTTCTAATTAGTTAATAAAGGAAGTCTATCAATATGGTTAAACTATATGTTCTCTCGTTCTTTGCCATTCTTCTGTTTTGCAACTCATTTTCCGGAGCTATTCCATTTAAGGCTCAAAAATCAATCGGAAATTATGGTAAATCTTATTTAACGTATAAATAACGATAACGATAATTATAATGTCGATCACTCAGAACACACATAATACAATTTGCAATTTTGAACAAATAAATAGAGTATCCAAAAGATATCCATATTCCGGAAAATATCACTGTTCCAGAGGGCAATTGTTTTAAATTTCATTTATACGTTAGTGGATATATCTGGTATAAATGTACCAATAATCAATGGGTAGTTGGTAAGTACGTACGTACGTACGTATATTTGTCACATCGCAATTTGTAGTGCTTACATTACTTAATTTTTAGAGGAAGGTCGTGTATTATTTTTCAATCATAATGAAGATATATCCTCCTACCCCGATTCAGCCGTGGCTTCAACATACGCTGTTCCTGCTCCAGGCATGTAATAACATAACCTAATTATTAATGTTATCGATAAAGAAATACAATTTTGGTCAGAGTTAATTGTAATTCTGGCTAAATTTGTAATACTTGAATTAGGGATGGGCAGAACTTATACGTAGTTCAGGTCGTGAAGGTGTGAAACTAAATCATCACATATTATAACTTAGTGCTTTTATCGAGGATTTGGTATCGCATTTCTGTGCTTGTCAAGCGCATAAGAATCTGTACAATGCGTCATCCATAATTAGAAATAATTTTAACCAGGCATCTTAGCAATTCTAAAAAATATACATTAATATGATGTTAAATGAATAACTTTATTTTCTTATTTAGGCTCAGTTGGCGTTAGGTCTATTATTCCAGAATGCGATACTTCGTCAATGATTTCAACCTCCGTTGCTACCGTCCCGTCATCCGACCCAGATAAAGATTTTCCCTGGGGACTTGAAAAAGCTCACGTAATTAATACAGTTCTATCAAGTAGTTCTATTGCAAATTGCATTTATTCATGATTATCATTTATAAACAGGATAATAAAGGAAAAGGGGCGCTTGAAGATATTACCTATGTCGTTCGTGTCAATACTAAAGGCGGTGCCGCTCCATCAAATTCACTATGTAAGTTATATTAATAATTTATTGTATTTATTATAGATAATTGTTATTTTATTAATTATATATTCCTATTATTACGTAGGCGGTACTAAATACCCGGAAGGATATATTTATAGCTCGGACATTTGTGCATTAAATTTGATGTACCACCCCCAAAAGTAATATCATTATTTTAGAAATTATAATAGTGTTAGCATTCATTGTATATCAATCTGATCTAATTATTTATTATATATACGTGAAATTATAATAAAATGGTATAGACTAGATATTACTATGTTATATACTGTAGTATTAAAAAAAAAAAGAATTATACTGGTCAACATTCTAAATTCTTGCTATATCATATAAGTGCTGTCAAGGGAAAACCTACAATCGGGCTTTCAATTATATTTTGTATACAGTTTGTCCTCTAAGTGCCGTCTAGGGAAAATCTGTATATTTGTGATGAGTTGTCACAAAATATAATTTAAAACCCGATAATAAATTTCCCTAGACGACAATTAGGAGACAAACTTTATACAAAATATAATTGAAACCCGATTGTAGGTTTTCCCCTGGCAGCACTCATATATTGTAAGTCAATTCGAATTCGGATTATTACTAATAGCACAGTAGTCCGGAGCTTATCATATGAGTATACTTTAAAGACTCATACAGGATAATCCCAAAATTCCGGGTCAGAAGTCATCTGGATCATGATCAGTTAATATTTATATAGTGCTTCTCAAATTACAAATTTTACGTTTATACCGATACATTACGCGCTACACAATCAAGAATCTATTAAAGTACTAACCTGCAATTGGCTAGAAATTATATCAGTGTGATATATATTATAAAAGTTCTAATATTGTCTGTTTTTCAAATTTCGAATTTCTTAATTATGGACTGGTAAATCTTAATTCTACTAGCCTGTAGAATCTGAAAATAACTTTGTATAATCAAAATAAATAGGACATTATCAAGTACTTTCACTCAAAACTTGTAGCAATTTAGACAAAGAAAACAATATTTATTATTTCTTGGCCAACTAACTACAAGATCAAATATACAAAATATGGTGCCAGAAACTTATAACCGACAATCATGTGGTTTAAAATGTGACATTTTTCAAAAAATTAAACTAATAACTTTGTATATCATATGCTTTATAAAGTTATCAATTTAGTTTTTTTGATATTAAGGTGAGGCCTTGCTTGTATCTTTATTAGTAATTTTTAATATAGTAACTACAGGGAGTTACTAACTTTATATACAAGTATAAAAGCAAAAAATTACAAAAGCTCAGACTATTTTATTTGTGATTTAAATTTATTAGAGTGGTTAAAGACTCATCTAGATTTGAATAAATAAAATACAATTAGATGATATATTGTATTTAAACTATAAAGTAGATCAAATGTTAAGTTTGTTGATAGCTTGTCCAATTGGAGAATATATATTATTTGTATGTAGTTAATCTATTGTATTATATTGATATAAATATATATAGTATTTATGAATTTTTTGCAGTTAGATGCATAGGTTTAGAATGTTTTAAAATTTGTATATTGTTATATTTTTTTATATAACAAAGTTATTACAATATAGCTTTCATAATTGTTTATATGTTTGTTTATTGAAATAAAATATAAGCTTGATAATAGTTTGGATAGCAAGTTTATATAAAAAATTAAAGCTTTTAATAATATTTATAAATAATATTAAAATAAAAATTCTTTAAAGTTAGATTAATATAAAAGGGTGTAGTAACTTAGAGAAGTGGTTAAATTATTATATCTTTGTATCAAAACTTTGATTAAAAATATCTTGACAACCATATAACCAAATTTAATGAACTTTTTTATTTGAATTCTACAGATCTATAGAATTTAAATATAAAAAAGTTTATTGATTTTAGTCTAGTAGTTGCTAAGATATTTTTGATCAAAAATTGTGAAAATTTTTAAAATATCTATATTATTTAATAACAACTATATTGATATTTATACCAAAATTTTGATCAAAGATATTTTGGTAATTACTTAATCAAAATCGATAAACTTTTTTATTTAAATTTTACAGATCTGTAAAATTTAAATAAAAAAAGTTTATTAATTTTAGTTAAGTAGTTGTTAAAATATCTTCAATAAGGGTGTGGTGACTTAGTGAAGTGGTGAAGTTGTCGCACCCCCAAGCGGTTGAGTACAAGTTCAATTCCCACTGGAG